TTCCAACAAAATTTTGTAATTCATAGGTTACTTTTTGAACGTTGTAGATTGAATTTCTGAACGACTTGTTCGATGCCTTACACAAGGAAGTTCAATCAACATGTGCACCACCACAGATTAAGGAGTTTTCTTTGACCACTCCTGAAGTTCCTACACAACGACACAAGTAAGAATGTATATTTGGTCATAATTTCACTAGAAAAATAAAATATTTGTGTCTTACGTAATGCATCTTTCTAAACAGGAATGATAGTGGGATCTGGGTTTGTGTGTGGATGATGGGATCAACTTGGGATGATGACTATTATATTTGGGTAAGAAATCACCTACTACCTAGGCCCATTTATTTCTACGAGCACATTAAAAAAACTATGTCAACTATTGTATTAATACGTTATATTTTCTGTCCTTACAGCCATGCAATCATTTGAGAAGAATGCAGGTGACATTGTACCTAGTCAAAGAGCCTACCAATTACATAAGACACAAGGTGCTCAAGAAAGCAAATCTGAATGCGCCTAGGTTTGAAGCTCAGACACTCGAGTACAAAATAGCTTCCCAAGAGAGGAAAGCAGGTTCCCAGAAGAGGCTAATTCAGGAAAGCAGCTTCCCAGAAGAGGCGAATTCAGGGCTCAAGGATATCTAGTCGCATAGTGTGTTCTGCTAAAACATTTTAGCATTTAGTTTTGTTTCTTCCTTTCCAACGAATGCCCTCTTTATGGTAACGATTTAAGGATATCTAGTCGCATAGTGTGTTCTGCTAAAACATTTTAGCATTTTGTTTTGTTTCTTCCTTTCCAACGAATGCCCTCTTTATGGTAACGATTTAAGGATATCTAGTCGCATAGTGTGTTCTGCTAAAACATTTTAGCATTTAGTTTTGTTTCTTCCTTTCCAACAAATGCCCTCTTTATGGTAACGATTTAAGGACACGTTTATTATTCAGCCGAATAAACACAAGTACACAGCCAGAGGCTAGTTTGCCAAACAGAAATGGAACCGCTACAGTAATCTCACATTGCAGACAGATAGCCAAAATAGCAGCAACAGAAACAGCCACCTCTGAGATTCGCATAAAAATTAATAGAGATAAACATGCCAGATTACTTGCCTCGGGAAACTTATTCCCATCACGTCTTCACGAAGTAACCCATCGAAATTTGCTGGAGGATCGTCCAACAACCAGCCCAATCAAGTGGACCCTTAAACCATTTTTCAATAAAGATGGAAGAACCCGAAACATGATTAAAAGCATCACTAGTGAAGAATGTGGCTAAAATGAAAGAGGTCACATATCGTCCATTCAAATAATATTTGTCTGAGCTCAACCAAACTTGAGTTGCTCCCCCTATAAATGTAATCACCCTCTTGTTTCTTCATATCTTCTTCAGACAACTTATCAACTGTGCTAAACATGAAACTATCAAGATCGACTTCCTTGTTCCTCGGATCCATTCTGACCTGGAAAAAGAAAACCACCAAACAAGCTCCTCAACAGATCATGTCAAAGACTACTGAAAGAATGGACCAAAAACACACATGATCCTGGAAAGGGACATCTTAAGCACCTAATTCCGATACACATTAACTCGGTTTATCATCAATGCATAAAACCGTCACCACAATTCGTCAAAACCCTTACCTTGTCAAAGTTAACCACGAAGATAGAAGCAGGACTGGGCCTGTCGGGGTCTCTGTTTAGTTCGAACCCCACGGTTTCAGTGTAAAAAAATGTAGGAATAGAATTTTTGAAATACAGACTCCACAGCTGTAGCCTCCGCTTCAAACAACGAGACCTCTCTTCCCAAATCAGTCTACAATACACCTCATCCATATCAGAGATCCATCCAAAATCACAGCATTGTAGTTCGAAAATCAATTTCGGCAATTTCAATTCAAAATCCCTTTCTTACCTCCCTAGCAGATCCTGAAGGAACCATGGCCTCTTTCATTGCCTTCTCCAGTGCAATCATCTCCGCCTGCCCAGCTGTTTACACAAGTGAATTACTCATACAAGCAACAATTAGTTTTCATTCAAAGGGATGGGGGTGCTTATGCTTGCACAGCTTGACGCCGAGATTACCTGCGATATTCGGCCAGTTTAGGGTTCAAACAATCGATTGGGAGGAATCATAGGACAGGTGTGAAATATAACAGTCGAGAACGGGAAAACGAAGAAGAATAAGAGGAGGAAACAGAGTGGTTCAATTATCGCTGCCATTTTCTGAGACGGCTGGGATGATTTACAGGAGTAGGGAGGAAGAACAGGGTTATTCCCAATTCGAACAGAAAAATGGAGAAGAGAGAAGGTCCAAGGTCGGGATTTGGATGAGAGGGGTAGGGCTGCGGGTGGGGCAAGGTAGGTGTCCTTTCTCTTAGGGTGGTTGGGTTTTGGGTCAATTCAATAACTAAACAGAACCAACCCGATTTGGTTTACAATGGACTAAAATGAAAGAAAAACTAATTCTATGAGTTGATCTGTAATTTTATTTAATATAAATTCTGAAAAAACAAATCATTTAATAAAATTTAATCTCAGCCGTCGAGATCACACGTACGGTCAAGATCACCCAAGGTACGCCATACCCCGGAATTTACCCGGGGTACGATAGAAGCCACCATATATATATATATATATATATATTATTTATTTATTTATTTATTTAAAGGGCTTCCAATATTTTCCAGACGAAAACAACAGTATAGCATATCGATCCGTGTGAATTTAGATGACCGGCCACAATTTTCAATAACAAAAAAGAATAAAACAATGGAAAATTGACCACTAAAATTTTGTTTTCAACAGAAACAAAGTGGGGGCTCAATTCAATATTAGGAAGCATACAATTAATGGAATTGCTGCATAGTTTGTACCGCCGGGGTCCTAGTTATAGCTAATTAGCTAGGCATGCAGTAATATAGACGTAAGTCACCGAAATTGCTAGTTGGCAAGCAACAACACTAGAAGACAAAAGAGGAGAATTTTAAAAACAATTTTTTATTTAAAAAATGACGTTTTTTTCTATTGGAACTTGGGTTTAAAAAATTATGAATTAAGGCGAATTTGGTATATTATGAATATGAAATAAAATTATAAATTTTTTGTTGGATTTTATGATAAATTTTTGTATGCAATGTTAGAAATCGAAACAAAGAGTAAACAGGGTTATCAAAATTTAGTTGCGTCGCGAGCGAACTAGTTCGCTCTCTATAAGACGTTCGCGACCCTGTCTCTTAATGCGCTGATCACTTGAATTTGTGCATGTTATTGTCAGTGGTTTGTACGTATCAACAACTATCCATACATATTCTTTTACAATTTGTATAATGCATGTTATTGTCAGTTGAAATTGTATAATACATCATTTCTTCTATTATTGATGAAACCTACACAAAATAAAACATATATTATTTTACAATTTGGCACTCCTCGAATGTTTTATTATTCACAAGACATGTATTCTCCTCAAATATTATCTACATCAGATATTTTATTATTTTAAATATAAATATAACCATCACAACTTCCAAATGGATATAAGGGTTTTTGTCTTGAATAGGAGGAGGATGTGATTCAGTAATTTTTGACAGCTTGATCTCCTCCCAATATAAATTGTCCCCTAAACCTCGACGGAGAAAATACGACTAAGTTGTATGCCTTTATCTGAAAGAGTTTTAATGTGTAAGTTAAGCTTTTGCTGGCGCCAATTAGCGGTGCTACAGATACAAAAGGAAGAAATAATAATGCAGAGGTGACCATTCCAAAATCCAAAGTCGACCTTCATTAAAACAAAAAGAAAAGACAAACTCCATTGTTTAAAGCAACGAAGGTCATGATTTCAATCTCATAATATAAAACTAGGACACAAGAGAAGCACGATTTTCTTAGTGGAAGTACAAGTGCTTGGAACTTGTAGCAAACGACATGTATAATCTTGGTAGCTAATCCAATACAATCCGTCAAAATTTAGAACAATAATAATAATCCTAATAGAGTGGAGATTGGAGAGTACCTAACCCCTCAACAACCTAGAATATATCAAATTGTAGCTATAAAAACGATCAAGAATTAAAAAAGCCATACCGAATGTTGTACTTGGAGAGTCAGTAATAGGATATTTTATATTGAAATCGTAATTCAACCATTCATATCATTAAGTATCGGCCACCAATTTTGCTTTCGAGATGAAGATTTTCTTATTAAACCGCCAGTACGATAATAAAGAAGCACACGAATGGAGCATGGACCCATAAAAAAAAGTTATCACCCATCAATGCGCCGAGGAGAGTACCGCCTCTGCCCTGTCATAACAGTCGTTGTAAAATTGAGACACTTGCGCCGCACACCTGGAAACCGAACGTGGCTGGGCAAATCGCAAATGTAATGAAAATTTTGGAACACAAACAACGAAACTCCATTAGTTCTAGGGTTGCCTTCTATCTGAAGATATAAAACAATAACTATCTTCCTGTCACATAGAGACAAATTCAACATAAAGATAAAAGTACGTAAAAGATCCATAGTTCACAAGAAACAACACAACTTTAATTGAAATGACGCATTTTGAAGTGTGATGAAAGAGGTTTTGTGAGAACTTTAAAACTAAATGTGTTTACTGTGGAGCAAAACGGATAATATTTTGATCAAGAAAAAATTGTTGAAAGGTTACAAAACTATTTTATTTCACTAATCAAAACACCTTTTTTTGTTATAGATAACCTGAAGGGTATAACATATATAAATACAATAGTAGAGATCTTTGCGACCTTATATCACAAGTCAATCGTCGAATGATCAATACAAGACTATTCTGTTACGATTTATGAACAATCATATTATACCTACACATAGTATAATAATGAAACACACTCTTTTATATTTCTACTTTGACATTTCATATGCAACTTTAGCTGCATGGAAAATGGGGGTAAAATTGCCTATCATGAAAATGAAGACGACCAAGAAACCGGATCGGGGCAAAGAAATATCAAACCAAATCAAACCTAACCAAAACCAAGAATATTTTGGTTTTGTGTTATGACTTCTGCTCGACAGTCCCAGAAGAAGTCTCTTTCTCTCTGGTTTTGGTGGGTGTACGGTCCAAATAATCAGTCCAACTCACTTCCTTCCCTTTTTCGCCTCTCTCTTCCCACTTCTCCCCCAACCAGACTCTTCGAAACTCCATCATCGCTGCAGATTCATTCAGCTCAACTTCTCTTTCTCTGCAACGCCTCCAACTTCATCCCAACCCAAAACCTCAACTCTCTTTCCGGCAAAAAAATTTCAACTTTCCTAGCGCCATTCTTTCCATTAATATGCTCCCGCTACTTTTTTCGCCTTATATTATTATATTTAGAAGGTCTCTTCCGTCCTAAGTATCCTGAAATCTTCTACTCTAAGCATTTCCTCTTGTTCGTCTTCTTCGGACTTTGGAAGTGGGAGATTGATTGGATCTTCGGACTTTTAGCAAAGGTAACGCGTTTCTTGGTGGGTTGGGTTCTCCTTCCTATTTATTGCTTCTGAAACGGTTTCCATTGATCCATCACCATTGAATCATTTGAACCCTTTGTTGTGGACTGGGGCATGAAATTATGCCACTAAAGGTGGGATCTTTGTGAAGACTGCGAGTTTGGATTCAGCTGGACATTCTTTCTGGGTTTGATTCAAAGTTCTCAGCTTTGGATTCTGTTTCATCTATCTAATAAAGGGGCGCCTCCGTCTTTGTAAGTCAGCCTTTGTGCGCCTCTATAGTCCTCTGCTGTTGTTAGCAGTTTTGACCACCTGATTTAGGGGTTACAAGGGGATTGATGTCCATGAAAAACCCATTAAAGGGGATGCGAAAACATGCCAGTTCTCACTCAGGAAGGGTGTTTAGTGATAGGAAATGGATTATCCCTTTCTTCGCGAGCTTGCTCGTCTCTCTAACTCTCTTCTTATGGGCTATTTTTGGGCTTTTCTCGTCCCCTAATGGCGGAGATGAGTTTCCATTTGAGGTCATTTCGGTTTCGAGATCAGAGGGTTCAAGTGACTACTTTGTAGAATCAGAACTGAAGTTGAGAATGAATGCAAGTATGGGTTCAAAGTTGGATGCCCCTAGGTTGGCTTATCTCATTTCTGGGACAAAAGGCGATAGTCATAGAATGATGAGGACTTTGCAAGCTGTGTATCATCCACGGAACCAGTACATCTTGCATTTGGACCTTGAGGCCCCGCCTCGTGAAAGGCTGGAATTGGGTGCATCTGTGAAGAGTGATCCGACATTTGCTGAAGTTGGGAATGTGCGTGTGATGGTGCAATCCAATTTGGTGACCTATAGAGGGGCTACTATGGTTGCTTCCACATTGCAAGCTATAGCCATTATGTTGAAGGAAAGCTTGGAATGGGATTGGTTCATCAATCTTAGTGCTTCTGATTACCCACTTGTGACACAAGATGGTTAGTAACGCGACAGTCTGCTTCTCTCTTTTGCATCCTGTTCCCAAAACTTGATTCATTCTTGGCGTAAGTTCTGTGTCATGGTTATATTAGCATATTGGTGTCAGTGTTTTGGCACTTTGATTCTGCTATCTTTCGTTCCTGGCTTATGCTGTTCCAACATAGGATACATGTTTACTCAGTGACGATTATGTGTAATCAGGGCAGCATGTTGTGCTTGAGTAGCCGATAATGACTACTTTGAGCTTTAGTAGAGTGATGTATCCCCCTTAAAGTTTGTTTCTTGCATTATGGACTCAGTGTTGTGTTACCATTGGAGGAATGCTGCTCTCAGGATAAAATTTCTTATGACTGTTTCTTCTATTTGGTGATTTGGTGTGGATTAACAAACCCATTGACTTGTGATGCTAAGTCGATTGAAAGTGTAGAAGAGATTTCATAATTATGGTGGTAACTCGTTGATTAATAATTTTCTCCAGATTTGCTATACGTGTTCTCCAACCTTTCACGGAATCTCAATTTCATTGAGCACATGCAGCTGACTGGCTGGAAGCTGTAAGTTGAGATCTTTTTACCACCCAACTTGTAAATGTTCTTCTGTTGCAATAATTGAGAAGGGAGAATCAACCATTGTTCCTGATTTTTTTTTTTTTGACAGGAACCAAAGGGGGAAATCGATAATTGTTGACCCAGGATTGTACTTGTCAAAGAAATCTAACATCGCTATGACTACTCAACGGCGGTCCCTTCCTACATCCTTCAAGTTGTTTTCAGGTTTTTCAATCACTCCGTTACCTCGCATTGTACTTCTTTGCATCACTGCCATAGTTCATGTTACATTTTTAATCAACCAATTATTTATCTGAATTATTATCCTCAACCCCTGATATTAGTGTGTAACAGGGAGAATCATACCTCTTTCATGCCTTTCAGGCATATATTTCTAATATCTTCCTTTAGGGAACAGTGCACTTCTACCTAACTGATATGCATCTTCAGTTCTGCTGTTTTGCACTTAGGGAGTAATGAAGTCAAATTCTCGAGTCAACTCCTAATTCTTACCAGTTTACAAGGATACTCACCAAAGTATAATCTTACCTGAATCTATATTATTTTCTCCATTTCTAGCCCTGATGATTGGGCATCTTAGGGGTCTTGCAGAATAGATATTGAATATTGATAATGTTGTGATCTTGTTATTAGAAAACTTATATTTGGCCAAGTTGTTAAGAGTGTGATTAGTAACTATAACTCTTTTATGTGATCCTTAAAATGTTAAGATTCAACCCTTCAAGTTTACTTTCCAATTTTACAGTTCTATGTAAAACATGTTGGATGTTTACAAATTATAAGGTGCTGAATATTTTGGAGATAGCACAATACCAAAGTTGACTTATGAGATTGAGAAACATGAAACATATTGCCAACAACTTAGAGAATAGGATTTTGATTATTTTTTTGGAACATCTGAACTTTTTATAGATTTGATGCGATGTGACCAGTTAATGCTGATCTCTGCAAGATGAAAAATATTGTAATATACCCATTTTCCAGGATCCACCATATCACATGATTCTGTGATTCAATTCTACTCTTCTTGTTCCACTCTGCTTTTGAATTCCATGAACAATCTATAGTTTGACTAAGTTTCTTGGGAGATCGTGAATACAAACAGTCATGCTATAACCTTCAGGTCTCAACTCTGGAGTAGATAAAAATGTTTTATGTTCAGTCAGCTGTCCTGCATCTTTACTTTCCATGATCTCTAACTTCTTGAGGCACAAGTTCTTTTAGATAATTCCTGCGGGGAAAGTTTCCCTTTTGCTTCTGATCCAAGTCTTATATCCTGCCTTAAACATGCCAATATCCCTACATGCTTGTCTTTAGAATCACTCCATCTTGTTATGTTAGGTCTATTGTCTCGTATATCCATATGAATTAGGAAGTGGCACATTGCCTAGTCATTTATCCTTTTGAAACTTTCCTCAGTTTGAAATGCTGAATTCCTCTTTTGATTTGGATTCTTCTTTCAAACAGGTTCAGCGTGGGTAATTCTCACGAGATCCTTCGTCGAATACTGCATAATGGGTTGGGAGAATCTCCCACGAACCATGCTCATGTACTATACCAACTTCATCTCCTCTCCAGAAGGCTACTTCCACACCATCATATGCAACAATGAGGAATTCCGAACCACAGCCATAGGCCATGACCTTCACTACATTGCCTGGGATACCCCACCAAAGCAGCACCCTATATCCTTGACAATGAAAGACTTTGACAAGATGGTTAACAGCAGTGCTCCATTTGCCCGGAAATTTGCAAAGGATGATCCGGTTCTGGACAAGATTGACCAGGAGCTCTTGGGACGGACCCATCGATTCGCTCCAGGGGCCTGGTGTGTTGGTGAGACAGATAATGGGTCTGACCCGTGCTCTGTGCGTGGGGATCATTTGGTCTTTAGTCCTGGCCCTGGAGCGAAAAGATTGCAGGAACTGCTTCGGACATTGCTGTCAGAGGAGTTTCGGAAGCAACAGTGTCTGTAACAGGGTTAAAGCATTTTTAGCTCAAACTCCACAAAATGTACATGGATGTACTGATATAGGTTATACGGTGTCTGATGTAGAGGCAGAGTGTTCAATTTTTCCCCTGATAGATCTCTGTCACGGCAACTCTACATCTGGGAAAAGAGGAAGAAAGGAAAAATGTTGTCATAGTGGTCTGGTTTCCCACTTTCTAGTTACAATAGATAGTGAGAAATTCATGACCACCCATTACTCGTAATATTCGGGTTCGGATTTTACCTGTACCCACTAAAGTCCTTCAGATTTGGATTTTACCACACCCGATTAGATCGGATTCGGGCGGATATCCACGGTTATGGATATTTTTGCCATCCCTAAGTCCATGGTTTCCAAAATATTTTTTAGAGTCCCTCCATCCACATGTCACGTGTCTTGGCTCTACTAGTCGGCAAGGTCCCAACTTGAGTTTGTGCTTAACATCGAAGTGATTGGGAGATTTCTTGTCTCCGATTGACCTCGTAAGTCGAGTCCGGATCTGGTGACTAAGGGGGGGTGCTTAGTCACTTGGCTAAGCCCCCCTCAGCCATTGGATCCTTATTAATTGATCTAATGGTGGAAATAAGGGAAGGGATGGTTAAATAATAAGAGGGGCAATTTTGGGATTATGAAAATTTTATTTAATTATTTTTTTTCTCCAGCCAATCTTCTTCTGCGCAGCATAGCACCGCCGCCCATGAAAGAGAGAGAGAAGCGCTGCAGCGACGACGGAGAACGCCGGCGATGATGGAAGAGAGGGCGGCGACGACGACAATGGAGATCTCGACGGTGCCGGCGACGACGAAGAGAGGGAAAGGAGAACGAACGTGACAGAGGCGACAGCTTCGAAGAGAGAGAAAGAGGATCTCGTCGTCGTCGGGAAACCAGAGGAGAGAGAGAGACGATGGTGGATGATACAGAGGCGGCGGAGAGAGAGAGAGAGTGTCGGCGACAATGGAGGAGAGAGAGGCAGCGCGACGATGGAGAGAGAGAGAGGTGGCGACGACAGTACAGAGAGTCGGCGGCGGCGGCGGCGGCGGTGGAGAGACATCGTATGCGTCGTCTGAAGGAAGAACAGTGATTTGTATAGTTTGTATGTTTTGTAACATTAGTTTGTATTGTTAGTATTTTTGTACAAAATGTCAGTATGGTTTGTATGTTTTTCTTTGACAGTTTGTACTCTTAGTATGTTTTTCTTTGACAGTTTGTACTCTTAGTATGTTTTTCTTTGACAGTTTGTACTCTTAGTATGTTTTTCTTTGACAGTTTGTATTCTTAGTATGTTTTTCTTTGACAGTTTGTATTCTTAGTATGTTTTGCTTGTATTCTTAGTATGTTTCGCTTTGTATTGTAAGTACTAATAATTTGTATACTTTATATGTATTGATTTGTGATGCAAAAAACATTACAAACATGGTTGACAAAAATGACAAACATGTGGACAAAAATAACAAACATTACAAACAATACAAAAGAAACCAACAAACATTACAAACATTACAAAATAACAAACATTACAAACATTGCAAACAAACATTACAAACATTACAAACAAACATTACAAACAGTACAAAGCATACTACACGTACAGAATATCACTACTAACAATACAGATTGGTAAACTTGTATTACAAACAAATGAATACAAAGTATACAAATCATAACATAAAAGTATACAAACATTACAAACATTGCAAACAAACATTACAAACATTACAAACAAACAAATGAATACAAAGTATACAAATCATAACATAAAAGTATACAAACATTACAAAATAACAAACATGACAAACAAACATTACAATGTATACAAAATAGTAATATAAACATTACAAACATCACGAACTCAATACTGTTGCCGGAAAATCATCCACCACCCTCTCTGGTCGCCGGAAAACTGCTCCGCCGTCGCCGGAAAAGTTGACTCTCTCTCTCTCTCTCTCTCTCTCTCTCTCTCTCTCTCTCTCTCTCTCTCTCTCTCTCTCTCTCTCTCTCGTTGCATTTGGGGGAAACAGCAAAGGAATAAAATCCCCAGCTTCTCTCTCTAGTGGTTAATTGCAAGATTGCAATTCAAAGCTCTCTCTCTGGAATAATGGCACAATGGGCGCACAAGAACTCTCTGGGGAAATTCCCCATGCAAATAATGGCGCCCAGTTGCCCAGTAATTTCCCTGGTCGGCGGCCGCGCAATTATTGGAACGGAGGCGGGAGGCGACGCGACGGAGACGGCCGGCGCTGGGTTTTTTATTTTATTTCTTTTATAATTAAATTAAAAATAAACATGCAATTACTACATTGCCCTTCATTAAATTGGATTAATAGGAGCCCTTGGATTTTAATGAGGTGCAAGGGTGGAGATTCACTTAGCCATGTGACTAAGGGGACCCCCCTTAGTCACCAGATCTTAGCCCCTCGTAAGTCCCTAATTATCCCGCCACCGATTATCTAGATTGCATGCTACCGATTTGAGATTCGTTGCTTGGGGACAAGCAAACGATTGAGTGTGTGGGAGTTTGATTCGAGTTTAATTATACATGTTTACTCAACCTTTTCTTGATCGTTTGGCTTGAGATTTGTCGTTCTTTAGCCCGTTTTCACGCTAGGTTGTGCTTGGTTTAGTATATTTCACATTCTATAAAATGAATATGGCAGAAGGAATGATTGTCTTACCATTTAGAGTCAAAACCGGGACAAATTGAACAAAGTGCATAAGTCAAGACTCATGGCAGAAACTCACCACTAGATCGTGACTCACAAAAGAGGTCGTGAGATATGCAATATTTCATGAGCCAAACCATAGTTTGGGAGCAGTTGTAGAAGTCATGGTTTATAACCATGACATCAACAAAGACCGCAACCTATGTAAATAAAACGGTGCAGTTTGGGTCGACGTCATGTTTTAGTGTATGATGTCACGACCATTTGGTATCAAAACCGTTAAAAATTGAACAGAGTAAATAAGTCACGGTTCATAACAAAAAGTCACAGCTAGATCGTAACTCGGAAAAGAAATCGTGAGATATGCAAGATTCCAGGATCCAAACCATAGTTAACGGTTTACAACAGAGGCCGCAACCCGTGTAAATGAAACGGGGCACTTTAGGTCGACGTCACGGTTTATTGCCCGATGTCACGACCATGACATGTGATTGTGACTTGCACAGTTCTGTGTATAAATTGTGGAGGACGAGTTTTAGGGAGAGATAGCAGTAGCAACCTCCGAGAGAGAGAGAGAGAGAGAGAGAGAGAGAGAGAGAGAGAGAGAGAGAGAGTAACAAACAAGGAGCCCTAAATGGTGATTGAAGACTTCAATTCTCAATTGGAGACAAGATTTCCAACCAAGGAGTGAAGATTGGAGCTTTAGAAGATGAACCTAATCACAATGATGTTGATTTCCTTTCTTGAGTTTGTGATTCTTTCTCTTTCTCTCACCATGGAGTATACCCATACCTGGGTGTGTAGAACTCTAGCTATATATGTTAGGATTTGATTTTGAATGATTCATATGCTTGATTACACTCTTGATTATAAAATGAATTGAGGTACTTTCATGAAATTGGTTGGGTATTGATAAAATTCTCCAATTTGATATATTAACCTAAAGTAGAGAATATCCAATTAGGTTGATTAAAGAATATATTCAATTCTTCATAACGGGTCAATTGATTGAGCGTGATATTGCACTACTATGTCATATTGGATCGAGATCCTTTAGTGGGAGTCTAAATTGCATGCATTAGGTGTTCTATTTTGGCGGATGTAAAAACTCTCCCTCCCGATAGTTCACCCTAAGTGAGTTTGGATAACTAAAATAGGGAGTTCAAGCGGGTTTAGGCTAGAGGAAAGCACACCTGAGTGACATTCTCTTAATAGAATTCACACCAATCTTCACTTGGTTTTCTTGCTAGTTGATTAGTTCAAACCAAACCTTGACCTACTAGATAACAAATAGTTCACAAAGTAATAGTAGATTTCCCGCCCGTATTGATAATTATAATTACTTTCGCTATACTACACTCGATTAGTGGTTGCACTTGGCCTTTGGTTGGGATAGTAATTAGGAACGAGTCAATTGCCGTACAAATATATTAACACATCCAAAAAAATGGTGAAATGAACCAACACATAAAACCCAATTTTGTCTTAGATTGATGGGTCCAATCATGGCGACTTAGCAGTTAGTGATGATTAATGAGTTGTGTGAATTGATGATGGTTGATGATTGTGAATGTGAGAAAACTAGATGATGTTGATGGAAGAGAATTTATTAATTTGAGGGGGATAAGTAAAACTGATCCAAAGATTTGATCTTACTCTATTAATTCAATTCAATTTGGTCCAAATTTTTAAAGATTTAAATCTTGAATAATGTAGAATTTTCATTTTAATAAATATTATAGAAAATCATGATTGAAACAGGTAAGTAATATCATAAAAGTGTAAAATTTTATGATTTGAATCGAGATTTTCACTAAGAATATGGCAAAGAACAAAGCGTTAGTGTCCAGTTTCTGGTTCTAGAAGACAGCTGCATAAGAATTGGACGAGAGTAAGCTTCAATCTCGAGTATCTTTCAATTATATAACAACTGCTAGTATAAAATATATGACAATTCTTTGCTGTTACTTGCTTGCTGGTCACAGTAAGTAGAATATAGGTGTTGCAACTTTAACGAAATGAATAACTTGACCACCAAGAGAGCAGCTAACGTGATGCTGCAGATTATACAGTGCCCTGACCAATAAGCTTCAAGTAATTTTCAACTATCTTCTCCCGCGAGAAATCAGTGTAATACCCTTTCCCTACACTAACTCCTTCTTCCACACCAAGCCGCTCGACTTCTTGCTGAACTCTCTCCAACATTACTCGGTTCCAACAAGTTACACCAACTCCTTCTTCAAAATGTCAAAGCTCAAACCTTCACTCGAAAAAGAAGGTCAAACCTTTGAGTTGAGAACCAACTTCGGCTGCCAAGGACTTAGCAACCCAAGCTGCCTGGCCCAGCGATGCCTGAGCAAGTGGATGGAAACAGATATGGTCCACAACACCAAGTCTAGGGTGAGACCCAGCATGATGCTCAAGGTCAATTGCTTGAAACGCAGCCTTAACCATGGCAAACACTTAACTCTTCAATGGACAATTATCTGCAGGTGACGGGTTTGGATCCAAACTTGCAACAATTGTGTATCCAATTCTATTCTTG